AAACTTTAAGTCAAGGGGATAAGTGATAAAAAAATTTTTAAATAAGAGTGTAAATGATTCAAAAAATTTGTGAGGGAGGTAAGTGATAATTGAAAAAACTCATATATGAATTTTTGAAGTTTTTTCATTTGTTCTAACTAAAAAAATAGTGGATCTCTTTACATGACTAAATTAAACTTAAATTATTGTTAAAAATTAGTCATTATTCATCTTAAAATCATGAAAAAAATTATTATCTTTACATAATACAACGCTAGTATCATGCTGTACCATGCTTCTTCAGCGAAATTATCTACAAAATCACTTCCATAAAATTATTTAATTACTATTTTTTATTATTTTAAAGTGCTTTTATAAAGTTAATGTAAAGATTTTTCCCAAGCATAAAAGGATATAAATTTAAATTTAAAGTAAAGATTTTTTATTATTTCACGAGTTTTTACAGGAAATTCCAACAATGAAATCACCTCGATATGAAATACAAAATTATTCTGACCAATTAAATATTTTTATAAAGTTAATGTAAAGATTTTTCCCACGCGTAAAAGAAAAATACATTCCCATTTAATGTATCTTTTAGCTTCTTTTTTATTATAAAAAAAAAAGCTTTTTTCATAAGAACTTTTTTCAAAATTTATTTGACTTAATTATACTTATAAATAGCTTCTAGCTGAAAAAAAAAATTTGTAATTAGTCTATGTAACATAGATGGTGACAATTGAGTTACAAATTTGTTTACTAACATAAAAATATTACTTTGCAGTTCACACTATTTTGCTTACCCAAACAATTAAGAAAAAGAATCAAGTATCTTTAGAGCTTAAGCAATAAAGAGAAAGAAAGAACACTATTAAAATATAGGAAATAGAAGTATCATGTTATAGGAATATGGTTATGTCATGTTATAGACACAATCAGTGCGGATTCCATAATTTTTTTTTTTTTTATTTTAAAAATAAGGGGGTTCACATTGATTGTGTCTATAACATGACATAATCATTTTCCTACAACATAATACTTATATTTTCCTTAAAATATATATATATATATATATATATATATTGGTATTCTTCAGGTTGCAAAAATTGATGGGCTTGCGGCAACATGGATGATAAAAAGATTAGCACTTTTTTTTCCTTCATATTTTAGTTATACGTTTTAAGTAATTTAAAATTTTAAATGCGTATCTATACATACCAATACGCATAACTTGGGTAAATTTTGATTTTAATTATTAACAGGAAATTTAATTTAATTTTTTCTAACTAAAAAAATAGTGGATCTCTTTAGATGACCAAATTAAAATTAAATTATTGTTAAAAACTAGCCATTATTCAGCTTAAAATCATTAAAAAAATTATTATCTTTACATAATACAACGCTAGTATCATGATGTACCATGCTTCTTCAGCGAAATTATCTACAAAATCACTTCCATAAAATTGTTTAATTACTATTTTTTATTATTTTATAATGTTACTGTGAAGATTTTTCCCAAGCATAAAAGGATATAAATTTAAATTTAAAGTAAAGATTATTTACTATTTCATGAGCTTTTACAGGAAATCCGAACAATTAAATCACCTCGATATGAATTACAAAATTATTCTGACTTTTTCATAAAAGTATTTGTCCTTTTAAATGACACAATTTGTGTCATTTTACTCTCACCAAGATATAGGACTCACATCTTTATTTTATTTTTTGTTCACTCTCTCTCTTCCATGATTTATCTTTTTCTTTCATTTAAAATGACAGAACTTTACATCTTTTAAAATGACACACACTTTCTCCATTAGATATTTTTATAAAGTTAATGTAATGATTTTTCCCATGCGTAAAAGTGCAAAAACAAATAAAAATCCATTTAATGTATCTTTTGGTATTATTGTATTAATTTGTGCTTTTAAGGAAAGAAGAAAAGAATTATTCCCCGTTGGAGTTGTTATGGACCGTCCAACAATAACGTTTGGGCCTGGACCATTTAGTAAGTCTCTTGAGCTCGTTGCTATTCCATTAATATATACCTAAATCTCATGTACCAAAAAAAAAAATATATACCTAAAACTCTGCTTTTGTTTGAGGAATAATTTAATTTAAGAGTGAGAATCAAAATTAATATGTTCTCTGTTTAGGAAGAAAATTATTATTATTTTTTTTATTTTTGTGTCCGAGAATAAAAAAATGTAAATATTAAAATATTATCTTTTTAAAAAGTTTTCCTGAATTATTGATTCATTCTTTGAAATAAAAAATAAAATCTTATAGAGTGGTAAGATATTCATAGTAACATTTTTTTAATACCAATTCACTACCATTCTAATCACTTTTTGATCAAATTTTTTATCAAAAAGTGGCCTAAAGAGTAGGGGTGTTAACGGGTCGAGTCGAGCTTTGGTCTTAAAAGGTTAAGTCTGTGTTTAAATGTGTCAGTCTGGCCTAGCCTGTTATCCGTTATGAATATAATTATCTGCCAGTGGCCTGACTTATTTACAAAAAATAAAAATCTGGTTTAACCTATTAAAAAAAACAAGTCTTAAACTATTTATCCAAACAAAATATACGATCAACAATACTAATAATTTAACAAAGATTCATAAATTCAATATATATCCAAAAATAACATAATATATAACAAAATTATTCAAAAAATCTGTTTAAGTTTAACCAATAAAATAGGATGAAATGGGTTGAGGAGAGAGAATACTATTACGAGTAGTATAAATATAAAATAAAAATAAAAGTTAGTGCATTAGGTCATGCTTTTGAGTTGGAGCCGGAAGCCTTTTTATTAAATGAACTTTCGTACAAATTCAAGTCTGGTTCTAACAATCAATTTTAGTCATGTAAGCCTAGGTCTTCATGAGATGGGACAATGGCCTCTGATTCGTTTAGCACCCTACTGAAGAGTGAGAAAAAATGTTCTAAAAAATTTAATCCAATGGTGATTAGAGTGATAGTGGATTGGTAATAGAAAAAAGTGGTAATGAATATCCTACCTCTTTTACAAAATATAATTTTTAATTGTTTCTGATTTAAAAATATTTTTTAATTAGATTAATAAGGTTACAACGAAATAATAATATTATTACTAATATCATAATAATTTCTTATTATATTTATTTTATCAAACATGAAATTTTACTAGTAAATACATATCTTTTCTATTTACCAAAAAAAAAAAAAAATACATATCTTTTCTATTGTTTAAATTTTTAAAGTTTTTTAATATGCTCAAATTAATTTCTGTCAAACGTAATTGTCCATCAAACACAATGCTTAGATTTGTTTATTTTTTATTTATCTATTTTTTATCCATCTTTAAATTTTAATTTCCAATTTTTGGACGAAAGTATTTTTAAATTTTAAATGAAATTCAACAACATATCTATTAATCATTAAAAAATTATATTAAATTTTAAATAGTCTCATTTGAGAATAATTTAACTTTTTTAGTCATTTTTAAGAAAACAATACATCTTATTTTTAACTAATATTTTTAATATTTAAATTTTTTACTTTGAGTATGTATGTATTCTTTGTGATTTGAAATATTTTTATTTTAACATACATTTTTAATATCTATTTTTTGTGAGCTTAATTTGTTTTAATTAATAATTAATTGTTTATATTTCTCTTATAATTTTAAATATTTTTTATATTTATTTTTTAAATTTTACTTAAATTCAAAATTACTCATACAATGCACTGCTAGTTTTAAGATAGTTGTTTTGCCTACACTTTTCGATTTCCTATTCCTCCAAAGTTATAGACTTCTTTTGTAACTAAACAAAGAAAAATTTATGTTTTTACAATAAAAGAAGGGAACGATTGATTAAGAGCGGATAAACATGGCTATTTCGAGCATTAGTGTTATTTTGTAATTATGTTATCTTCTATGATTTGATAGTCTTCTTTATTTTAGGAATTTCATATGTTTCAAAAAACTTTATCTTTAGTAAGCTGTTTATTTTTGTGAAATTATTATGTAATTAGCATTTCATATTTGATTTGGATTTCACTTTTAAATTTTGTTTTCATTTTTTTCATGTTATGTGCACTTCAGTGAATGCTTTGAACTGTAATTTTGTGTTATAAATTATTTTTTTTTCATGATTTTAAAAATTTAAAATTAAAAAATGAAAACATTCAACAAATATTTTATGCTGTCACCTTCTTTTCTTTCATAAATATAAATAATTATTTGAATATCAAAAGTCAATTTTAGAATGAAAATTGAAATTTATTTAAAAGAGATTACCTCAACCATAAATTATTACAAGGATAACACATCAGTACCTGGTATTTATTACGTGGAGCCATGGAGGAATCCACGTCTACATATGACATTATGTGACATAAGATAATTTGAAAATAATTTAAAATATAGAACCTCAGCATTTAATAATTTGACAAACTCTAACGTAATGTACATAAATAAATGGTCAGCTGATGGTAATTTTTTTTTTTTTGTTGGTAATGTAGTATTTGAAAACTTTGAAGAGTTGGTTGAAGTGGTCCTATGAACTCGAGCATGGACGAATTGCAATAAACAAGGGCTTTTATTGGGTATTTTTTTCCGGCCTCCATTATAAAATACCAAAGGATCTGACTTGCTTCTAAGAAATAATTATGGCTATGAAATAAAAAAATAAAAAATAATACTTGTATAAACCTATATTTATTGTATATTTTTAATTTTTATGAGTCAATAATAATGTTTCATTGTAATTTTTTTAATGGTTTTGAAATTATGCATATAAACTCTAAGAGGTTAACGTAGTATTAATTATATTAAATATATTAAGGGAAAAAAGTTTCAGCTGTAACTTCAGATAGACATACCTGCTGTGCACTTAAACGTCACCGTTTTTGTCTTTTTTTAATTAAAACGAATTAGACATCGTCCTATTTTTTCTCTGTTTCTTCGTTCACAAACTATATAGTCATCACATCGCTGTTTCTTGCGCTTCCTTGCACACCGTGCTTCCGTCTTCTTTGCAACAATGGTGTCCCTGCAGAATTCTCCTACACTCCACGAAACCCTCTTTCACAACTCTTTTCCCCAGGTACTCTCTTATTCTTTAATTGGTAATTTGATTCATTTTTCTCTGTTTTTGACCATATGTGTCATTGTTACAGAAGCATGGTACTTTCCGTTCATCTAGAAAGGAAGGGTTTTCGTTCATTATCAAAGCTGCCCAAGAACCTTCAGCTTCTTCAACTGGGTTGCTTTCTCAAGGTTTGTGATTTTATTTTATTTTTGTCTCTTGAGCTTGAATTCACAGCTATCATTATCTTATAAGAAGTTATTGTATAACTTTGCATGTTTTGTGGGTAGAACTGTACAAGTAATTTAGGCTATTAACCTTGTTTGTATTTTAGAAGAAATAATATTACCAACGAATGTTTAGGAACGAGAATACTGAGCAACAATTTGGTTAGGGCATATGTGTAGCATAAATACTATGAATTACGTGATATTCATGGTAAAATCTGAAGTAGTTTCTTCATCTTCTTCTATGGTGTGGACAGGAAGTAGTGATTGAAGGTCAAGATAAGGTGTTCAAGGATGTCATTGAACCACTGGAAAGTGTCAGTGTAAATATGATCCCAACTAGTAAACAAGATTTTAGAGAATTTGGGTCCCCTGAACAGGTAGGTTTATATCAGTGTCATTGCATTGTTTTTAAGGAAGATAAGAGGTGTTATTTTTCATCTTATGTAAGTAGAACTAATGATTCCTAAATTTTGGTCCATATCATCAGTTACACTAAATCTAATTAAGTCCATATCCTCTACAAGCTGATGAAGACGAGGAAGATACTGATGAAGCTAGCAATGACTCTGATGACGCTGAATCAAAGACTGAAGCTGGGGAAGACGATGCTGAAACCAAGGAAGAGGATGTACATGTAGGTTTTTTCCATCCCCTTAATGTCACTTGAATCAAGCTTGACAAAGGATGTATATTTAATAATTCTCTTTGCTTCTTTTATTTGCAGGATGAGCTTTAGGGAGTCTGCATAGCGGATAGAGTGAGATGAAGTTATTCCAGAGAAGTGGATGGATGCAAAGCTCTAAGTGCACCATAATCTACCCCCCTTTTCTATATATCTTTTTAGTTGTAGTATTTTTCTACTAGATAAGCGAACCGGTGAAAACTGCAAGCAAAAACTCGAGCTTTTGGTCCAATCCCATTTGACTATTTTCAGCTGATTAGAACAGACAAGAATGTCTCTTTTGAATTGATCTTTTTGTGTTTCGGTCAATTGAGTTTCCAATTATGAGACGCAAGTTGCTGGCTCAGGTATGCTTAATTAATACTTGCCTTCTTAGATGTTAAAATTAATGTGAATTTATTGTTAACATGCTTTTCTGGGATGTTTTAGCCATTCTGAACTTGTATAAAACATATAAACTCTGTATACGTTGTTAACTAGTATTAATTATGTGCAGATTATTTTGAAATGGGCCAACAAAAGCAGGAGCCTAGATGATGTTGGGAAGAAATTGGAAGTCCTTAAACATTCTGCATAGGACAGAAGGAAAGGCATGAAAGTAATCAACATGGAAGATGCTTTAAAAGAAGGCTTTCATATAGACTTCAAGGAATACTATGAGTAGGATGAGTCATTATAGGATATTGTGTATGAGTTGTAACTTGGATTTTAGTAGTCATTATAGGACATCTGTGTCAATGTAATATGAATCCATGTACATAATTATTCAATGTGAGTTATTCATCACATGTGTTTGTTTTATCAAATTTATCTTTTGTATTACTCTTTGACAACAGTAAAGAACCCATCCTAAACAATTGAACTTTCAAATAGAACTGTGAATGCGTTTCAAAATACTTTCAGCAAAACAGTTTGCCTCGCGGAACTACTGGGAACATTACATACATCAAAAAAATTTGAAACTTTCCATAAATAAAACTATATTAAGTTATCTTTACAATGCAACTGCTTTCATTCAAAAAAGATATCTATAGCTCAACTTATGCACAAAACAATTCAACTATGTTAAAACAATTCAGCCGTGTCAAAGCTTCATCTTCATTGAAAAATCTAGAATGTCATCAGGGGCAGCTTTCAAATGAAACTATTATTCCTTTTGCTTCTCTCTTGTAACATCCATCTACAAATGAAAAATCATAATTTTTTTATCAAGTTCAAAGAGGAAAAACAAAAACATAAATAGGAAAAATATAAGAGAAATACCATTTGCTTCTTACAACTGGTCTTATTATGACCCTTCTCTCGACAATAACTGCAAGTCTTTTGTTGTTTGGCTGCTAACTCAATGCTTGATTTAATTCGTGAAGCAACTTTTGGACGCCCCTTTGTTTTGACTGCTTGAGTGGGGTCTCGAACATAATTAAGTGAAACTTGAGAAGGAATGAAACCACTTTGTGAAGGTACAGTTGAGCTTAAGGTTTCCTCATCAATTCTTTTTCTCTTTCTTTCTAATTGTTGTTGAATAAATTCATCAACAATAGCATCAAATCTTCTAATTTCATGAAAACAATCTTTTGCTTCAGAAATAGCTAAATTGCACTTCGACTGAGTTGACAACAAAGACAATTCACTTACTTCACTGGTAGTTGTTTCAGAATGAACAGACAAAAGATTTTCAGCCTTATAGCTTGCATTCATGGTCCATCTAGTTAAAATATACTTTTCAGGAAGGGTCATCATTTGTTTCTTCTTGAAGATGTACAAAATATGTTTGCATAAAATCCCCATAGTCTCAAACTTTGCACAAGAACAATGAGTAGTAGAACTTTCTATCAAATTGTAATAAACAGTTGCCCATAACTCTTTATTAACTTTGGGAGACCCCACACGGTACCTAATATTATGCTCGTCTGTTGACATCTTTTCGTGAAAGTAATCTTGTGTGGCAGCCCTCCACTCTTTTTTAAAAATTTCAAACAGTTTTCTTGTGTAGCGCTCTCCAGCTATTGCTTCAATTGGATGATTACTCTCCAAATTTGCTTTTGTATTTCTAGTTTTAAAATCTTCATCTTCCTCTGCATCTCTTCTAGACTTGATTGCTTTATCATATTGGGTAACAAAGTCATTTAACATTGTGTTGGAGTTGACATATCCATCAAAAAATGCATTGATGCTCTCACTTCGGCCACTTGTAGTCATTCCAGCAAAAAAAGTATCTTTCAAGTATGCTTTTGCCCAATGGTTACGTGAAGCATACATGTTAGCCAACCAACTACTTGCTTTAATATCATATTTAGTTCTTAATGCTTTCCATTTGTCTTCAAATTCATCTATGCTTCGACTTTTATACCATGCATGAAAGTCAACATCAAAATTATCTTTAAATTGTGCACGTAATGCTTGACTATGCTCCAAAATATGCTTTTTGATATGCCATGCACAGAAACGATGTCGTGCTCTTGGAAATATCTTAGCAATTGCTTTCCCCATTGCTTTGTCCTGATCAGTAATAATAGCAACAGGAGACTTATCAAACATGCATATCCGAAACTGTTCAAACAACCAAGTAAAGGTTGCCTCTGTTTCATCCTCTAACAAAGCAGCAGCAAATAAAATTGATTGCCCATGGTGATTAACCCCAACAAAAGGAGCAAAAGGAAACTTGAACTTGTTTGTTTTGTAAGTCACATCAAAGACAAGGACTTCCCCAAATTGACCATAGGAAGCTCTCGACCTACCATCTGCCCAAAAGACGCTTCTTAACGTACCATCTTCTGCCAACTGCATATCAAAATAAAAACATCCATCGTGAGCAGACTTCTTTTGAAAGTGTTTGATGATGCCCTGACATTCTCGTCCTACATTATTCTTACGCTGGCTTGATATAATAGTGCTAATTTGACCCGGAGTGATGTTAACTTCTTTGTTCATAGCATTCACTACCTTTGAGATTTTTGAAGACGTTAAACCCTCCCCATAAAGTTTAGAAACAATGGATTTAGTAAAATCTGAGCGACGTAAATCATTATGAGAAGAAAACTTGTTCACCTTTGATGGAGTGTTAATCAATGGATGATTATGTGAATCATTGAACTTCTCTACATTCCATAATCCGTTCACCAACTTTATTTGGAACATCGCCGAACAATCAGTCCGTGTATCCCTTCGCCTTTTGACATTGCTAACATCAATTCTTTTATCATTTAGATTCTTGACACCTTGCTTTGAGCACACATAATTCCACAAACATGGTTGTTGTGTTCTTCTGCTCCTGTTAAAGTAACGCTTACGTATTCCGAACCCCTTAACTTTTGCAAATTCATTATAGAAATCATAGGCTTCTTCAGCTGTCTCAAAAACTCTACCCAATATAGGAGGCTCATTAAACTCACTATCATCTCCCATAATTTCTTGGCAATTGTCTTGCATACAATCACCATCTTTGTCTTGATTCATAATTTCACATTGACCATCTTCACTTAACTCATCACTTTCTTTCTCCAATTCAACAATGTCATCTAAAGATACTACACTTTCATTCATATCTTCAGTAGTTGTTATTTGGGAGTGTTCCATCAATAGCCTGTAAAGACGAAAAAAAAAAGAATCATGAATCCATATATCCAGTTTCTTGATTGTATCAAGAACAGAATAGAAAAAACTGATAATATAAGTAAGGAAGATTTTAAAACCACCAAATGTTTTTGCTTTGAATCACTTACACCTTTATTTTTCTTAATCACTTTTCCTAGGTAAGTAAAACTACAATCGGAATGCATAGGCTGCTGTTGCAACACAGGCCAATGGCCATGTTCCTATTGAACCTTTTTAATTTTGGAACTCAAGTTTTGGTGAACCTAGAACAAGGTCAAGGAAATGTATTTTGGAGTATACAATAATTTTATGTTTTACCTTCCAAAACTATGTGAGATACCAAAATCAAAATATTTCAATTATGTCAGAACTAGGAAACCATACTGTCTGTTATAATTATTGATGGAAGCTCTGCTTAGGGAAGAATCCTTCTTATGGTAGCGTAGAACAGAATTGAAAGAAAATATTTCAATCTAAACTTGCATGCTTTATAAGCTGTTGGGGTATAAACTGACGTAGTACAAGGACAGTTGTAGAAGTATAAGAAAAGTTCAAACGTGAATTACTACAAAAAGAATCAGGTTGGATAGAGTATATGTATATGATTGACAATATGCTAGAGTATAATGCATGACCAGACTAGGAAATACCTCAAGTTGAGCTGTGCTGGAATCAGGAATTCTAAAATTGGAAACTGGTTGGGGCTGATCAATTTGATGGGTTGTGTACTTGTGTTGTATTTTAATTTGTAGAAACAGCTTTTATTGACAGAAGGAGTAAAAGTGGAAGAAAAATATAAAGGGAAAAAATATGAATCATTGTGGAAGAGGATTGGGTTCCTATCCCTGTGTAGCCAAACTTCACATGGCTCTTGCACTCATTCCAATAATTTTATAACTAAAACCCTCTTCATTGAGTTCACTCTCAAATCCTACAACATTTGAGACATCAAAACTTCACTCAGTGTTCGGGAACTAAACAGTTTTTTTTTTTTTTTTTTTTTTTTGCTTTTTAACATCTTAAAAGTCTTACCTTCAATGATTTCTTGTCCCAGTAATTGACAGCCTGACAATAGGTTGTCAAGCAAGAAAAGCAACCTTATCAGCTTGGGTGAGGTGTCAACTAACAAGGTGTCATTCAACCAATGGTAGATGCATTATTGTCAGCTTTTTTTATTGTAACCTTATCAGCTTTCTTAAATATCTTCTTAAATAGGTTCTATAATTCAAATCAAAATATTCAAGTCATAACAATTTGCTTCTTCTGAATACATGCGATCATTATAAAACAATGACAAACCTTAAAATTGTTAAGTACCTTGGCTGAGGTGAGGTGTCAACTAACAAGGTGTCATTCAACCTTTGAAGTATTGGCAGTTTCTCAGTTTAAATGCATGAAGGATAAGGAAGTGTATCCCTGACCTGTTGACCACAATGGTAGATATTATTGTCAGCTTTTTT